TGAGTCGATTCATACTCATAGCAACCATACAGGACAGAGTAGAACTGCCCCACAGGGTTTCCAAGGAGCAGCTGGTAGATTTGAACTGCTGACCTTTTGATTAGCAGCCATAGCTCTTAAACACTGCTTCACAAGGGCTCCATATAATATACTAGAGAATAAATATTGCTTTATTCTTTTTAGGACAAATCAAAAATGCTTTGCAAGTGAAAATGTAAAACCAATAATTCTGTTATGTTTAAGATTGATTATTTGGTTTGGTATTACCCTTGGTTGACCTGTATGTGCTCAATCTCAGTATTTTTCCCCCCTGATATTCTATATTACATCGTATGTATATTAATATTTTATAACTTATGTTGCATAAAAATCAGTGCTGACTTTGTTGCTCACCTTAGACTGTTTCTGTGAAACTCTTTATCTTTCTGCATTTGGTACTGGTCAATTTCTGCCATTGTTCTTCCTTAGCTTGTTTCAACCTTTTCCCTTTTCCTGAAAATTATCAGTGATGTAGAAAGGAACGACGCTTCTTTTTAATATGCATGGAATTTCAAATCTGATTTTACCAAATGAGTGAGGTGCACATTTTTTGATAATTTTTTTCTAGAATGGCACATTTCATCAAAAAACAGTCGTAATGGAAAATTGTTTATTTTTTGAATTAGATTCTTTAGGACATGGAAATGACGACTTTCTTTCACCCATACATATTTGAATAAAACATCTTCTCATTTATTCACAGCAGTTAACAGTCAGAGAACAGATTTTAGCTGTCACATACTTGAAAAGACATTATTTGGTCACGTTTTCTGTCCTGATTTGCAGCCAGGACGCCTTCAGTCCCCACCGACTGGATCCTATTTAACACTGGCAGATGTCCAAAGCTGCTACAAACGTGCAGCTCGGGCTCTATCAAATTGACTTGCCATTTTAAAAAACATTTTATTGGGATTTTTCCTTACCATTTGTTGACTCTAGAATGTCTGATTAAGCCCCACCGCACATCAAAGTAGTTCTTTTTTTTTTTCTTTTGTAGTAGTTTTCTCTGAGGGGGACTTGAAAGTGGTTGTAAAACCAATTGTTTTTAATGGGTTAGGATATTTAGTTAAGTAGCCCCCTTTCTTTTATTAAGAGCAAAGGTGTAAGCCTTAAGCCAGCAGACAGCAACCTACCTATCTGAAAGTTTCAGATGAATACAATGTTTTGGGGATCATTAGCTAAGCACATAACTGTTCGTCAACCAGAGTAACTTCTGAGGTCTACAGACTAATTTTAATTGCTTCTATGCAACTACCTCCTACCACATTCAGGGTGTTAGGTACTAAGATTTTGTGATCATTAAAACTTTAAAGAAACTCTGAACTATATTAAAATCGTTTTTTCCTCTGGGTCTGTTGTCTTCCAATTTCTGTGAAATGTCGTTTTTTTTTTTTTTTTGGCCCATTTAATATATTTTCTTTTCTCTGAAAATATCTGTTAAACTTTTGCTTATAATTTTTGTCAACTATTTATTATATTGTGCTGACTCTGAATGAAGTGTGTTCTCATTAAGTAGCATAAAAGACAATCTTAAGATAAACTTTTATTTCTCTGTATCATTATCTATCTTTCTGTCTGTCACCTTTCTATCTACATCTTCATACACCTCTGTGAACTTGGAGTGTAGAATGCTTCTAAGTTTCTCTCCCTGATACGTCTGAGTTGCTTTGCTAGTCACTCTGTATTATACGGAATAAAGAAATATTCACTGAGTTACAAATGGAAAGGTGTCCCTTTTAATACCTCTCATCCTTGATTGAAGCTGGGTAAACCTCATTCAGAACAGATATTTAGCTCTATCTTTACTCTCTTTGGAGTCCCTGAGTGGTGCAAATGGTTAATGTGCTCAGGTATCAACCGGAAAAGTTGGAGGTTCGAGTCTACCCAGAGGCACCTTGAAAGAAAGGCCTGGTGATCTACTTCTGAAAAATCAGCCATTGAAAACCTTATGGAATACAGATCTCTTCTGACACACATGGGGTCTCCGTGAGTCAGAGCTGACTCCATGGCAACTGTCTTTTTTTGTTTGTTTGTTTGATACTCTCTTTAAAATCCAAGGTCTGGTGCAAACTAATACGTTTCTGATTCTTGAAACTTAATGGAACATTATCAGTAATACTTACTATCTTGCTGCTTACTCGATGCTTATTACCATTTTGTATATACTAATTCCTTTGTTCTCTATAGTTCTAACTAATTTGTGGCAACCAAACACATACTCTTCAAAGAGATTCTCTGTGAACAGAGCAAATAGATGACATGTTGGTAGGGAAAACTCTGTCTTGATCCCCAGCCCACTTTCCTATCACTGCCTGTCATCAACATAGGGACAAAAATACATTTAAGATGTGTCATGGATTGAATTATGTCGCCCAAAAAATGTGTGTATCAATTTGGCTGGGCCATGATTCCTGGTATTGTGTGATTTTCCTATATATTGTAAATCCTGCCTCTGTGAAGTTAATGAGGGAGGATGGGTGGCAGTTGTGTTAGTAACGCAGGACTCAATCTACAAGATTGGATTGTGTCCTGAGGCAATCTCTTGAGATAGAAAAGAGAGAAGTGAGCAGAGAGACAAGGGGACCTCATACCACCAAGAAAGCAGTGCCAGGAGCAGAGTGTGTCCTTTGGACCTGGTCCCTGCGCAGAGAAGCTCCTAGTCTGGGGGAACATTGATGAGAAGGCTGACAGAGAGAGAAAGCCTTCCCCTGGAGCTGACGCCCTGAATTTGGACTTTTTGTCTACTTTGCTGTAAAGAAATAAATTTCTCTGTTAAAGCCATCCACTTGTGGTATTTCTGTTGTAGCAGCACTAGATGACTAAGACAAAATGTGTGGACATTTTCTTAGTAATAATGAGTTCATAGAATACATAAGTATTTTATAAAATAAATCATAAATCATCATTAATCTCCATCTTAATTGCAAAACATATTGGTTTCAAAATTACAATGATATAGCACGTTAAAACAAAACAAAACAAAATGACAACAACAACAAAAAAACAAAAACCGAAAAAGGAAAAGCTATGCGTGCCCTACCCCTGAGCAGAATCAAGAGCTCCTCTAAGAAGCTGTATATTAGCTCCATCACACTGTGACAGGCTCAGAAAGTGCCTGTGATTTCCTGTCATGGCACCAGTCACCTGCTGGTTCTCATTCAATTAAATAGGAGAGCCACAGGGAAATCGCTGCTGGCGCAGCAATTTTCTGGGTCGGCTCAGCAGCTGCTGCTGTGTGAGAGGCTGCATATGCTACACCTGATTTAATCCAGTGGAAGGAAACTAGAGCCTAAAGTCCACTGTTCTGCTAGAGGTGAAGCAAAACGCATGCATCAGACCTCTAGCTTGTTACTCTGTCTGTAGATGACAATTTCCAAATTTTAAAATTATACTTCTTTCTTCTTAAGCATCAAAAACATGGCTGCTATGAACAGAAAAGAATTCGTATTCCTATTTGCCAATACTTTCTGTATAAAACATATAGGGTGACTATATGGGACAGTCCAGATTTCAAATGTGACGATATAATATTTAGCTCCAAAGTTCCTACAAGGACAAACAGGCTCATCAGACCAAACGTTCTAATTTTTGGTTGAGAACAAGTGGCCATCTTATGCACTGTGATTTTCAATCTTGCTAATTCAGGAACTGCGGAGTGGTGCAAGAAGGGGCAGTCTTTGTTTATTCATCTATTATTCATTCAGTATTTATTGGATACCTGCCAGATACTATGCCACCTATAGGGCCACTATGAGTCGGAATCGACTCGATGGCAACAGGTTTGGTTTTGGTTGGGACCATATACGATGCAGACAGCTAGAAACAGAGGATAGAGAAATGCATAGGATATGATCTTTGCCCCTGGTAAGCATAAATACAGTGCATTTTGGAAATGGGTACATGGTGTTCCAGTGTCCAAGAGGAAAATTATACAATACATAAGTTGTGAAGAGTATTCAAAATCAACGGAAATAATATAACCTAAGTCTTGATTTTATTTGTTCTGTGACAGTTAAAAATGACATTTATGAAGATATTAACTATTAAAATTCTAGAGAATCAGACTCATAGTAAAGTCCATGTGTTACAGAGTAGAACTACTCCAAGGGTTTTCTTGGCCATAATCTTTACAGAAGCAGATTGCCAGGCCTTTCTTCCACAGCACCACTGGGTAGGTTTGAACCGTCAGCCTTTAGGTTAGTAGCTGAGAACAGTTTGCGCCACCTAGGGACCTTGTATCATCTCAGAAGGAAATTAGAATTATGTACTAGACACCACTACTATAAGAAATTAGAAGCTTTGTGACCTTGAACAAATTATTTAGTTTTTCTGAGCCTGAGTTTTCTTACCTATAAATCAGATTTAATAATTTACTGCTAAGAGTCATTAAATAGACAGAAAGAATGCATATGAACTGCTTGACAAAGATAAGTGACTCATTTTTATCATTCTTAGGAAAACAGGCCCAATTCCTGGGAGCTTTGCTGAGAAGGAAGGCAATGAGGAAGACGTTGAGTTTGAGGGCAAGTGCTCAGGCTATCAGTGCAGAAGCCTCTGGAGACTTCCCTGAGGACATCCCCTGGAGGTTTCCAATGGGCTGTTGGAGAGACAAGTTTGGAGTCCAGGAGAAAGGCCTGAAATGGAGACAGAGATTTGGGTGTCAGTTCTCTGGGTATCTGTATGTGATAGTTATAGCAACAGAGTTCAGACTGAAATAAAGGGAGAGTGTGTAGAACAAGGAGAAACTGCTAAGGTCTAAACCTGGAGAAATACCCACACTGAAGGGGTGATAAAAGGAAGAGGAGCCTCACAAAGAGGCTTAGAGTGGTGATCAGAGAAGCAGAGGGAACTAAAAAAGAAGAGAGAACAATCCAAGAAAGATGTGAACAACATTATCCAATACTTCAGAGAACTCAGATAAGAGGCAATTAATCAACCAATATGACTCTATATATCAGACAGTGTTCTATGTCTCTATATAGAGCAGTGAAAACCAAAATCAGACAAAATCCCTGCTCTCCTGGAATTTCCATTCTAGCGGGTGGAGATATAAATAAAAAAATAGACAGTGAGTGTACAATATAACAGATGGTGATAAATACTATGAAGAAGAATAAAGGAGCATAAGGGGATAGTGAGTGATGGTGATGGGTGCTAATCTAGATCGGCCAGGGAAGGACTCTTAGATAAAATGAGAGCAGAGAACAGATGAGCAGAGACCTGAAGGAAGCAAGACAAAATAGCCATGCAGATATCTGAGAGGTAAGAGCGTTCTAAGCAGAGGGAACAGTAGATGCAAAATTCCTGAGGTGGCAGGGTATTACGCATGTTCAGGGAACAGCAAATATACCTGTGTGGCTGGAGCAAAGCAAGCAGGGTGGTTGACTGTTAAGAGATGATATCAGAGAGGTAACACGAAGGCAGTTCATATAGAGCTCATAGGGCATGGTGA